GTCGAGAGGTACAAGAGGAAAGCCAGTGAATTCAATACACGATCATGGCAAAGCAAAGAATCCAAGCAAAGGAAACTGATAAAAACGCTCACCAATGCATAGCAATGGAAAGAAAGAACGAAAATTTAAAAGCAATGCAGGGCCAAGATACTAAAGATACAAAACCAAAGAGCAAACCAAAGCCAAGCAAAACCAGGAAAATAAAAGAAAGAGCAAGTACTAAAAAGCCCAGGAAAGCAAAGCAAAATCACCTGAAATCCTCACAAACAGAAGGGATTGTGCTTAGGAAAGGAAAAAGGACTTCAAAGAACAGAAACAGAAGGGAAAAGAAAATCAATAAAACTGGAAAAAAAACAATGCATTGCAATGCAGAAGGAGCAGGAAATCAAGACAGAAACAACAGAAAAACAACAAGGAAAACAGAGTAAACCAACATCAACCTATGCAGCAGCTTCAGGAACATGAAACAGCAGAGGATCACAAGAATCACAGAATGGCCACAATTGGAAGGGACCTCAAGGATCACAAATCTCCAACCTCCTGCCACACGCAGGGCCACCAACCTCCCCATTCCATAGCAGCCCAGGCTGCCCAGGGCCCCATCCAACTGGCCTTGAACACCTCCAGGGATGGACGGGGCATCACAGCCTCTCTGGGCAGCTGTTCCAGCACCTCACCACTCTCATAGCAAAGAATTTCCCCCTGACATCCAACCTCAATCTCCCCTCCCTCAACTTCAAACCATTTCCCCTTGTCCTGCTGTTATCTACTCTTTCACAGAGTTGACTCCCCTCCTGTTTGTAGGCTCCCTTTAGGTACTGCAGCCTGCACTGAGGTCACCCCGCAGCCTCCTCTTCTGTAGGCCAAACAAGCCCAGCTCCTCAGCCTGTCTTTGCAGGGAGCAGCTCCCGTCCCCTGCCCATCTCTGTGGCTTCTCTGGACCCTCTCCAACAGCTCCCTGTCCTTCTTGCACTGGGGGCTCCAGACCTGGACGCAGCACTGCAGATGGGGCCTCACAAGAGCAGAGTTGGGAGCACAGGGGGACAATCCCCTCCCTGTCCCTGCTGGCCACCCCTCTTCCTCTGGCCCTTTCCTGAGCTCCAAGGATCAGGAGTGCCTGGCAGCTTTTGCTGCAGAGCCTTATTATCCGAGAGCACGAAGACTTGGGGGAAAACCTCAGCAGCTCCCTGTGTGCCCAAGGGAAGATTTCATACCCCGGCCTACACACAGCCCAGCTTTCCCCGCTCTGCGCTGCCGGCATCCCCTGCAGCCCCTGTGCTGTAACATACACCAGCGGGGCTCGGGCCCAACACCCTGCACGCCCTCCCACATCCCCACGTGCTGCACCCGCAGCGGCTGCCCCAGCCCCAGCCCCGCAGCCCTCCTGCAGGCAGCGCAGCCCCGGGCGGCGGGCTCAGACCCAGCCCCGAGGAGCTGCTGCAGGTGACTCAGCCCCGCTGGATCCAGACCCAGACCTAGGATGCAACAACCACTTAGAAATAGTGGAAGCTGGCTTTCTCTTTGCAACCGGCTCCTTTCCTCGGGGCTGAGCTCTGGGCCCCAGGCACGTTCTCCTGCTGCCCTCTCCTCCTCCCCACTCCCAGCGCTGCTCTTCACGCCGTCCCACCCACACCTCAACTCCTTGTGCCTCATCGGGAGGCTGACATGCAGGCCATGGCTGCTGCGTGCAGTTGGGCTTCCTGGGGCAAACGGCAGCCCTCAGTACAGCCCAAGGCTGAAAAAGCCATCAGGGAAGGCAAGCTCAAGGGGCTGAGTGCAGGGACGCCTTTCTTCCTCCTGGGCCACTTCCCCTCCTTTGTGCTTTTGCTAGCGGTCCTTGGAGAGCAAAGGGATGCTCACAGCCTGTGGCCAGCAGTTACAGATGGGCTGAAAGGCCACCCGTTGGGAAGACCAACAAGGAAACGGGGGAAAACCAGCAGAATTTCAGGGGAGAGCCGACTGGTTCATCGCCCCACAATTGCCAGCCCAAGCACGGGACCTTTTGACCAGCTACGGAAAGAGGCAGCACCATTTTAAAAGGTTGGTTTCACTTTTATTCAATACAAAAGGATTTGGGTTGCATTTATCAGCACAGCCCAAAACGAAACCCCAGCGCCCAGGATTTCTGCTTAGCAATGAGTCATTCAGCATCCAGTCAGACACAAGGAGAAGCCTGACCCTGTGGCTACGTCAGCTCTCTCTCCAGGCCCAGCTAGCCGTATTTCAATCTCATACTAGACCGGCTCTGGCCCTGAAGAGACACATGCTGAAGGAACACAGCCTCTCCATCTCTTGCCATAGCTGAAGTCCTGCCTCTGGCAAGCCCTCTTTGCTTGGAATGCAGCACAAGCCCTTCCCTTCCAGGTGCCTCAGTTCTGCTGCACTGTCTGTGACAGGGAAAGCACGGCCATGACAGAAAACCAGGCGACTCAGTCCGCTGCCTTTGGTGCCACCTCCGAGGAAGCATTCCAGCTGATTCGAGTGTCCTGTGGGCCTTCTCGCTCAAGCCCTTCTTGGTTCTTTTTGCTCTCCTTCTTGGCTTCCTTCCTCAGCAGAGCAGCACTTGCCTTGGCTTTCTTCACTGTCTCCCAAGTCTGAGTCCCAAGACTGTGCCAGTCCTACAAGAATCAAGGCAGAAACGGTCAGGGAACCTTCACAGGTAATAAGTGGCTCACAGCTCGCTTGGGGAGCTCAAGCCACCCGCCCGGGCAGCTTTGGCTGCCAGCACTGGAAACTGCCTTCCTGACATCAGGGCACGCCAGAAACTCCACCTCTATCTCCTGCCCAAAAGTGCCACACAAACCAGAACCCAAAGCAAGGCAGCGCCTGCACAGGGCTTGGACACTGCCTGGCAGCACACACAGCACAGCAGCAGCAGCAGCAGCAGCAGCAGCAGCAGATGAGCTTGCACCCCAAGGCTCCTGGCGTGCATCAGGAACACGCGCACATGGAAGGAAGGGCAGGACAAACGACGGCACTCTCAGCAGTGCCGGGCACACCACCATAGGCCACAGCTACAGATTGTTCCCTCCCTGCCCTTGTCTGTGCCTTTCTATCAGCCTCAGAGAGCACGACTTACTGGCTTATGGCACCTGGAAACTGGCACGACTGCAGCTAACGCAGAGAAGCTGCAAAGTGGCTCCACAGAAGAGATGGTGGCACAGCACATTCTCTGCCAGCATGGGCTCAGGGATCTCAGCTGGGAGAAATGCCCACAGCAGCCACACAGCAGGCAGCCTGCTGCTCTCCTGCTCTCAAGGAGGTTGCTTTCTACAAGAGGGAAAAAAGAGTCTCATGCACACTGCTGTTACAGGCTGACTTAGAGCTGTTCTGAACATCTCCTTGGTCTACTGACCCAAGAACAACGAAGGACACAAAACCTGCAGCTGCGCCATCTTTCCCACCAGCCAAGGAAAAGACTCCTCAAGCTTGAGCATTGCTCCACTTGCAGGCGAGGGGAGCAGGAGCTGAAAAGGACAGGTGGGCATAAAAGAAGGGCAAAGCTTAACAGAAAGCAGATCTGTGGCAGACAGTGCCACCAGCTGTGTTTGAACAGCAGTGCCTTAGCACACGCTTACAGTAAGAGACACATACCTTGCAAGGGCCGCTCAGGAAGGTTGTGACACAGCACCTATGGCTCCCCTGAGTCCCAGCTCCATTTCTCAGCCACTCACGCTCTGCTCCTCCATGTTCTGCAATAGAAAAGTCACAAGACGGAAATTCAATTCATTGCAGACCTCAAACCTCCCTTCTCAGGGCAGTCACACTCATTTCTCTGCAGGATAAATCAGGGGAGTGCTTACCGAGTGAGCGGCATTTACTGCCAGTTGGCAGCAGCAATCTATGCCTAACTCTACACTCCTAACAGTAACCTATGCCTAACTCTACACTCCTAACAGTAACCTATGCCTATCGCTAAAACTGAACTGAACACTAAAACTAAGCTAACACTAAAATCAACAACAAAGCCCAGAAGTAGCACCCAGCTCCTACAGGGGGAAGATGGAACTGGGGGCCCGCAGAACCGCAGAGGAGCAACAAGGTGGAGGAGGAGCAGATGTTAGCAATGCCACCCAGCTAATGCTGGGGGCGGGGGCCGCGCAGCAGGTAAGGAGCCGAGTGCCCGGACCAGCGATGGCGGAGCTGTGACCGCGCCAACACAGGGCCTGGCACGGTGGTGTGGTGCCAGGCCAGCTGTGCCGCAGGCGGATCCACCTCCATGGGCTCCTCTGGAGGTGGATCCACCTCCATGGGCTCCCCATGGTCGCTCACAGCGCTGGCCTGGGCGTGATGGAACCGGGCTCCCTTCCTCCTCTCCCTCCGCTGCCTGATGGTCATGGTGGGCCCCCTCCTCCTCTTCGGTTCTGGGGCCCCCAGCTCCCTCTTCCCATTTAAAACCGCTCTCTCCTGCTCTCTCGCTCTCTTCGTGCTGGACATGGCTGCCACCTGCCCAGCACTCTCAGAGACGAGTGCGCCGGGTGAGGTGGCAGTGACCAAGGTGACGGCTGTGACATGGGGAAGGTTCCACAATGGCACCTGTGCTGCTGCTGGGAGTGGCGTTCCGCACGGGATGAGGAGGGGGCTACAGGGCACGGGATGGCAGCTGGAAGCGCTCCTGTGCCCAGCGGGCAGCCCTTCTCTGTGGCCAGCAACAGGGCACAGAGGAGCCAAAGCTGAGGAAAGGGCCCGCAGCCTCTTCACCCTCTGCACATCACATACAGGCGGTTCATCACCAGGGCACTGACGTTGCATTTCCTGAACATGCAGCGCTTGGGAAGCTGCCTCAAATGCAACATGGAGGAAAACGTGCAGTGATTTCCCATTTCTAATGAAATAAAAGTGGTGAAGCAACAACTGATGTTTTCAGAATTGCTGTCACGGTTATCCTGTAGGCACGGGAATCCAAGCCTCCACCACCTGCTGCTTTAACTGCAGCCACATTTAACTCACCTATTGTGCCACTCACATTAGGAAGCTCTTGCTTTCCCTCACTCAGAGTACAGAAACATTTCTATTTCTTAAAGTTATTATTTATAATAAGATTTAATTTATTATAAGATATTATTTCATATCTTTGAGGCAACAGACCAATCATTGGACCAATTCCACATGGGTATGAAACACCTGTGCCCACACTGCTCTCAGGAGGTGCAGTGTATGAACTGTGACATTTGAAGCCACACAGCAGATTATGTCCTGCAACATTGACTTTCCTTCTGCTTATTTATACCACTTTCTTACTGTTTGACTTCTTTCTAATATGAGGACAGCAAGTCATCTCACTGACTTAGCAGTTCACAACAAGCATCAAAACTACTTAAAATTTAATTCCTTTCTTGATTAAACCACACGCACGCACACGCATGCACACGCACACACTTGAAGGCCTACTAGGTCAAACAGTTTAGAAAACCCTCACTTTAAAAGCTTTTGGCAATTTCTGTTGTGTAGCACAAGACAGATGTGACGTGTATTTTGGTGTGCTTAAAATAAGAGAACAGAAAAGGCAGCAGAAAAATTCATTCAGCTCATAGCCGGGTGGAAGAGGACCTTGGCTGACCATAGCTATGCCACAGTTGGAGGACTTGCTGGCTGCTCTTGTCTTGGTGCTGGATGTGCTGAGCGCAGCAGCTGCAGGAGCTGTTGTTGTGCTGCTGCCCCCTCCAGGGCTCGGTTCTGAAGATGTTTTGCAGCTGCCAGTGAACTGCACTGGCCCCATCGTTCTCTGTGGATGTGGATGCACAACCATTCACGCTTCCTCTGACGCCAGACCTGTCAGAAGAAAAGAAAAATCTTTACTTGGTGTTTCTCTCCTCATTGGAAACCTATTTCAGAATTTGTAAGTCACAAAAGTAAACGTGCATAAGGTGGTGGTTTGAAGTCGGGCACACATGTAGCCACATTTTCTACTTCACACACACACAAAAGGCAGCTTAGCTGCACTCTGTAAAAATACTTCAGTCCAAGAACTGCTATCAGCTGCCCAGCTTTGACATTACAAAGAAAAGTTATTCACCAAACAACTTGTTGCATTCTCTGAACATTGGATGATTATAAAGAAAAAGCCACCTGCTTGCACTGATGGATTCCCGTTCATTATTTGCAACAACTTCAGAGGCAGCATGCGTAACGTTGTCAAGAAGAGATGTGACACAACGTGGAAAAGTTAAGGCTGTGGAAGGGAGAATGCGTGCCTTCTGTAAATGCTGTCATTTTTTTCCCATGCAGGCCATTTGGGACGCAGTACTAAGAACTGTACTCAAGTCTTACTACTAAGCTACACTGCCTTTATCTATTCAAATAATTACTGCAGCCTGGTTTTCCATCCAGCATCAGTATGAACACATGTGCTGCACAGCGTAAGGGCTCTGACTGGCTGTGCGTTGTTGCCTGAGCAGCCTTTGGAGTGAAGTCTCTGTTTCTGGAAGTAGAATAACTCCCTTGAACAGCAGGTCACAGTGAGAGCTTACATCCCACTTTGTGGCTTACAGCTGCTGTTAGTTCCCACCAGCTGGGAGCTGATAACTGATTTCCTTGTTGATGGCAGTTGTTCAGTTCCATCATCAGTATGGACAGTATGGATAGTATCACTATGGACAGGCTGGAGAGCTGGGCTGGAGCCAATGGGATGAGTTTCAACAAGGCCAAATGCCGGGTCCTGCACTTCGGCCACAACAACCCCAGGCGACGCTACAGGCTTGGGGCGGTGTGGCTGGAGGACTGCGTAGAGGAAATGGACCTGGGGGTATTGATTGATGCTCCGCTGAACATGAGCCGACAGTGCGCCCAGGTGGCCAAGAAGGCCAATGGCAGCCTGGCTTGCATCAGAAACAGCGTTGTAAGCAGGAGCAGAGAGGTGATTGTTCCCCTATATTCAGCACTCGTGAGGCCGCACCTCGAGTACTGTGTCCAGTTTTGGGCCCCTCACTGCAAGAAAGATATTGAGGCCCTGGAACGTGTTCAAAGGAGGGCAACAAAGCTGGTGAGGGGTCTGGAACACAGGCCATATGAGGAGAGGCTGAAGGAGCTGGGAATGTTCAGCCTGGAGAAGAGGAGGCTCAGGGGAGACCTTATTGCTCTCTATAACTTCCTGAAGGGAGGTTGTAGTGAGCTGGGGGTCGGCCTCTTCTCTCGTGTCATCAGTGATAGGAGCAGGGGGAATGGCTTCAAGCTACGGCAGGGGAGATTCAGGCTGGACATGAGGAAGTATTACTTTTCAGAAAGGGTGGTCAGGCACTGGAATGGACTGCCCAGGGAGGTGGTGGAATCACCGACCCTGGGGGTGTTCAAGGAAAGACTGGATGTTGTGTTGAGGGACATGGTTAGTAGGAGCTATTGGGAATAGGTGAACGGTTGGACTGGGTGATCTTTTAGGTCTTTTCCAACCTTAGTGATTCTATGATTCTATGATTCTAGTATTTATCAACTGTGACAATGAGATCACCAAAACACATGGCAGTGTGTGCATGGGGAAGAGTCAACCTGAAAACACCCAGCACTGTCTTCAAGTTTCGTAGTTTCTAAGTTACAAGATAGACTAAAAAACATGTTTATTCTTATGCAATCAATATTTGAAGTGCTGCTGTTTCAAATAATTTAACCAGGACTGCAGAAACTGCAGTCTTTAAAGCCCAGATTGCTCTCAAACGCCAAGGCTCTCATGCTGCCCACCTACTGGCTTCTTTTAAGGCTGCACCCATTTCACACCTATGTATGGGTGTGCATTTTCTTAAAGCACTGCTGCCACCAAGTGCAAAAGCTGTAACATTTTCACCTTATGGAAGATGTAACACTACCTTATCCAACTGCACAAACACTGCCAAAGGCAGGCCGTTCAGTGGCTCTTCTGTCTCTCAGCAGCACCAAGCAGTCATTTTCCCAGTGGAGCTCACTTTTCGTATCCCCGACCCTGTTCTGAGGGCAGGCAGAGCAGGCAGGACAAGTTCCTCTGAAATCCTCTCCCCGGCTGGTAGCAAATCCCTGCAGCTGTTTGCTTGAGAACCGCTCTCTCTGACCTGCTCCATTCCCTTTCTCTGTGCACACTGTAGCAGAAAAGCATTGGAGCAGGTCCAAATTTGGCTGCTCTCCAGAAAGTGTTCCAGCAATTCAGATGAATATTATCCATCTAATACAGCAATTAGATTTGCAAACGTTTCTCAACTGCTCATTCAGCTACCTTGCAAGTATTTGCCTGTTGTGCCAGCACTCGCAACGTGCAGCACTGAAACGCTCACGTCCGTAGCATAAATACTTCACCCACTGAACTGAACGACTGCCATCAACAAGGAAATCAGTTATCAGCTCCCAGCTGGTGGGAACTAACAGCAGCTGTAAGCCACAAAGTGGGATGTAAGCTCTCACTGTGACCTGCTGTTCAAGGGAGTTATTCTACTTCCAGAAACAGAGACTTCACTCCAAAGGCTGCTCAGGCAACAACGCATGGCCAGTCAGAGCCCTTACACTGTGCAGCACGTTACACGGCACCTTTTCAAGGTCTCTCTCTTTTCTCACCTGCTCCAGACACCTCATCGCCTTGGAACCCTCTGCTGAACTGCTTTCCAACAGCTGCCCTGCACCTGGAGCACAAACTGTATTCAGTCCCACTGTCTGTGTGACTTTTCCTACTTGCCAGCATTTTTTTCTCAGTAGGTTAATTTAAGGCAATGGTTTCTCATTGTTCTTTCACTTCTTCCAAGCGCTGCACCTGAGGGAAGTCTCTTACTTTCACCTCAGCCCTGCTCTACAAGCCTCACAGTATTTGGGCTTTCTTTAGAAAAAGCAAAACAAACAACAAAATCACACTCCATCAGAGCACGCCATCCATCTTTTAAACACATTACGTATTTGGATGCAACCAGAAACTGACTTCATTTAGTCCTACAAAAAACAAAAACACCTCTCTGGCACAAGCCAACTTATCGTCCAGCTGCTTTCCACCACAGAGAGCCTGTTGCATCCTGCAGAAATCACCTCCCATCCAGTTCTAGTCTGCACACTGCGCCACCCTCACAAGTGCGCCTCTGTGTTTCTCAACCAAAGGAACTGGAACGCCTTACTTTCATTTTAATGTCCTGACACATTTTACACTTACTGAAGGCTTTCGGTTAAAGATTGTCCTTGACTTTCGGTTAAAGATTATCTGAGACCAATTGAACAGAAAAAAGAGTGTATCTCCCTGTCCAGCAAAAATCTGCGTAAGCATTTCATTGAGATGCCTAACGAAAATTCAATACAAAGCTGTCTCCTAGCCAGAATGCTTATTATTGTGAGACTACATTTATCCATTCTATATTGCTTTTTTGCTTGTAAGCTAATGAAAATTGAGGGAAGCTAAAGGCCTTCGTTACAGTAAGGCACAAGGGAACTCATAATTGCTAGACAAAGTAAGCAAAGTTCAGAAAACTCAGGTGCTGATCTGATTGACGTTACAGGAATGCTGATAATCGCTGCTGATTATGACTCCACTCAAATAAAAGCACATAAAAGCTCTGGTCTCTACAAACACCAAGTCAAATAAACCACTCATTACCATCACTAAAACACTGCGACCAAGCATTCGGTAAAAAAAATCTCTGTACACCAGATCTCATGTAGATGGTACATTTGAGCTGAAAGTCACTCACTTCCTGTACTTGAGGCATCACCACTGGTCAGGAGCTCAGCATCTACCTGCATCCATCTGCACTGACAGACAAATCCACCACTTCTGCTGGCTCTCTGTCACCACGAGGATGCAGTGTTACCACTACCTGATCAGCTGAAAAGTACAAGAAGAAAGTCAGGGTTTACCTTCATGTATAATGAGAGGTCACAGCAATCAAGAAGAAATACACCACTTCTGCTTGCACTCTGCACAATTGCTTACACCTCGTGGTACAGCCAATCACTCCCAGGTGTCAGCAAACTTATTATTCCTACAAAGCAGGGAGAACCAGAGCACAAGCTTTTTGCTGCCTAAAGGAAGGCGTGTCTTCATAGGAGAAATGCAGTCTCTGGCTCCTGCCCACACTTCTTCAGCAATTAATATACCTGTCCTTGACGAGCTGTAGATAGAAGGTGTAATTCACCTCATTCTTCATTCAGAACAGCTACCAAGTCTATCTTGGGAGTAAAACATTGCACGTTTATCTCGTGACATGTAGTTTTGCATTTTAATGTGAAGATTCTGTATCACATAACTAGGTCAGAGGTACTTTTTGGGTACATCCCAGTGTTCTGTTGAAATGCAATGGCAAACAGGCCTGCTTGAATCAACATCCAGTAACACACAGCATGACACCCATCGTTACACAGAGCAGCGGAGTTATAATTGTCAGCTACAATCACAACAGGACAGCAACTGCCAGGAGAAAAGCGCACTGCATTGCTACCAATGTGCTGCACTTGGAGTGCCCACATCTGACAGTCAGGAAGCAAAAGTCAGAACAGGTGTGAGAGCACATCAGTGCAGTGTGTGTAGCAGCACCAATTTGATCGTGGCTGTGATGCTCCACTTGGAAGCTCCACAGGTGCACATGCTGCCTAGAAGCTCACTGGTTCTAAGACACGTTACATGGTACAACGTGCACCTGTGTAACACTACTTACAACATCAACTGCAGTCACTCATTTTCTCACCCAGCACCAGAAACATATCAGTTTTTAGGCTATGTAAAAGGAACCACTCTTTCATTACACTTTCACTCCTGCACATAAAAGCAAAGTGAAAAACATCAGGCTTCCGACACCGTGACAGCTTGTAGGGAAATAAAGATGATAACAAAGGATTGTGAGGACGCTCAGAAATGCAATCCGTAGCAACAAAAGGAACACTCAATGCCCACCACAGAGTTACACGCTGCACTCAAACTTGTACTTACACTTCATACGGTTTCATTTCAAAGTCTCATGAATATCCAGGGCAGCACTTCCCAGGAGGACATCAGACTTCAATGTTTGATGGCTCCAGACTCGAAAGGTTGATTTACTCAGAGGAGTGACAATTCTGAAAAAAGAAGTTGAGCACTAGCGTAAAGGTTTTTGGGTGAACTGAGCAATGTACATCAACTGTCGCTTACAAATTATTTAAAAAGGCAGAGTACAAACTGTGGCAATGTGAAAAGCCTCCTTTGGCTGATAAGGTCATAGAACCATGATGCAGGAATCTCTGCCCAGCACGCAGGCAGCTCCATTTGTCTGCTGGTGGCACAGACCGTGAGTGACTGCCCCTAGAGAAGCCACCAGCAGGGACACGTTCTGAAGCTGACAGCACACTACCTGTGCTGTGAGGTCCTCTGCTCCCAAACTGTCAGCAACTACGTACTGGGAGAGCCCCTTACTGAAGAAGAAACATGCCAACGCAATTATCCTTTGTACAGAGCAGTTAGTTACTGTCTCCCCTCGATCTCCAAAACAAGCTTAATCAAACAACGTTAACTGCTGTATTTCTACACAAAACCAGCTCCCTTCACAGCTTAAGCCTCAGGCAAACCAGCCGGCTGCGCTTCAGCCTCACAAGGACCAAAGCTTGCAACGCCGGGAGGCCGCAGAGCCGCACCGCAGAAGCCGGGGGAAGGGGGGCGGGGGGCGGAGGGGCTCAGGCTCAGCGTCCATCCAAGCTTTTCCAGCCGGCTGACTCCACAGCCACACGAGCCCGTCGTCATCCTTGCCGCAACATTAGGCCCCGCCGTCCGCAGCCTCCTGTCGGCGCACTCCGGGCCGTAAGCAAAACTCCACCGAGCGAGGCCAAAGCCAAACTCACCATCCGGACGGAGCCCCGCGCTTCCCCGCCGCCATCCCCAAGGCCCGCCACCGCGCAAACGACGCTCAACGAGAGCGAGCGACACGCCGGCTTCCCAGCCACGTCCAAACGAAGAGCGACGGCACCGGACCGCAGCGGGACGGCTCCCACCGCACGATGGAGCGCGGCGCTGCCGCTGCCCGGGAGCCACCCCGCTTGCCCCGGGCTGCGCTCCGGCACCCGCAGCCCTCGTGAGGCCACGCTCAAAGCCGCGAGCCGGGACCCGCCTCTGGCTGCCGGCGGCGCCGCGGGGAGCTCTTCCCCCGACAGCCCCGCGATGCCCCCGCGCCGAGGCCCGACCCCGTTCCCGGCACGGAGCCGCTCCTCCCGGCCCCGCTCACCATCCTCACGCCGCCGCGCCGCGCCGCCCCGGAAGTGCTCTCCGCCGGCAGGAAGCACTTCCTGCCCCGGCCCTAGCAACCGCCTGCGGCGTCACGTTCCTACGGGCGGCCCGGGAGCGGCCCCGGCCTGGGGGTGGGTGGAGGGGGCGGCTGCCGGATTGCTCTCGGGTGGCGCCGGAGCCGTGCGCCTTTTCTGCTTCTCCTTTGCTTTTCTCTTTTCTTTTCTTTCCTTTCCTTGCCCTTCCCCTTCCCTTTTCCCTTCTCCTTCCTCCCCCTTTTCCTTCTTTCTCTTCCCTTCCCCTTCACAGTTCCCTTTTCCTTTCCTTTCTTCCTTCCTTCCCCTCCATTCCACCCTCCTCCCCCCCCCTCTCCTTTCTCTCCACGCTCTCAATTCAGCTCTGAAATTGAGATGCCCCGAGAAGATCATCTACGCAGGCAATAAACGGCTTGTGCTGCGTTCCATTGCTTTGTGCTCTTGACAGACTCGGATTCAGTTTGCCCTTCACACAAGAATCACAGAACGGCCACAATTGGAAGGGACCTCAAGGATCACGAATCTCCAACTCCCCGCCACATGCAGGGCCACCAACCTCCCCATTCCATAGCAGCCCAGGCTGCCCAGGGCCCCATCCAACTGGCCTTGAACACCTCCAGGGATGGACGGGGCATCACAGCCTCTCTGGGCAGCTGTTCCAGCACCTCACCACTCTCATAGCAAAGAATTTCCCCCTGACATCCAACCTCAATCTCCCCTCCCTCAACTTCAAACCATTTCCCCTTGTCCTGCTGTTATCTACTCTTTCACAGAGTTGACTCCCCTCCTGTTTGTAGGCTCCCTTTAGGTACTGCAGCCTGCACTGAGGTCACCCCGCAGCCTCCTCTTCTGTAGGCCAAACAAGCCCAGCTCCTCAGCCTGTCTTTGCAGGGAGCTGCTCCCGTCCCCTGCCCATCTCTGTGGCTCCTCTGGACCCTCTCCAACAGCTCCCTGTCTTTCTCGTACTGGGGGCTCCAGACCTGGACGCAGCGCTGCGGATAGGGCCTTACAGGAGCAGAGCAGAGGGCCGGATGACAACAGAGTAGAGTGTATGGATGACAACAAGTTTTATAAAAGAAATGAGAATGTAATAACTATGGCTAGATAACCTGACCTTCACTCTGTGCAAACAGAGTTTTAAGTTAAAACCCTACATTTCCAACCACTCTGCTATGGAAAGCATTCTAGGCTCAAACAGGAGGCAACTCACTGATGGTATTAATGAGAGCACAGCAGTCCCGAGGCATTTGGAGAAGGAAAAAAAAGGCAGAGCTACATTCATCTGATGTTGTCCCCAGAAATCTCAGTCCTTATCCACGACACAGTAAAATCCAGGTCAGGTGATATGGTGAAGATAAGCAGGACTGCCAGCTTACCAAGAAACGACTCTGTCCATTTGGAAAGTTCCGTGTTTGTTTCTGTTAATCCTGAAACTTTGCTCTGTGGTAGAAACTCCACTCTCCATTAATAAAAAAGTGAAAAGCAGGCAGGAGACCCGAAGAACCTGAAACCAGGGAGAAGCAGATATTACGCTGAATTCAAGCCTAACCTGTCAGGATAACTGGAATCTGAAGGAGAGATGAAACTCTGGGGAACGTAACAGCACCCAGAGCATGGAAAAGAATATTACTTAGGCTGCAACCTGAGCTCTCCCTGGGTTCCTAAAACCAGAAGAGAACGGTCTCCTGCAGATACTCCTTACTCTCCATCCCAATCAGCATCCTGCACAACTGCAAAATGCCAATATGTTCCTTCTGCAAGTGTTACAATTTCTGCACAATGTTTTCGGATGACTCCTGACGAAAGCAATTCCTCCTCCCTCATCCCTCAAACCTTTCCCACAAAAAAGCCTTCACAGAACATACCCTAAGAGGAAAACTCTACTGATTCAATTGACCTCCTGCCTGCCACGTATGCAGGGGTTTCTTAATTGTTTCTTTTTGTTTGAGCAAATCCTCTATAAGATGATGATGAAGTTCACACCTTAAACAGCACTCCTTCACTCTCAGACTGCACAGAACGTTAATGGGCTGACACCGTTCTTAAGGTAAATTCTGTTACACGTGGTACTTAGCAGAATTTATTCACAAGTTCCTTGCCCCTTGATTAAAGGCCAATTAGTGTAAATTTCTTTCCTGTAGCTTGCCTTTCTCTCGCTGTTGTATTTGTTTGGTTTCTAAAACCCAGGAAGTCCCAGGATGACTAATGGTGTATTCTTCTTACAAAGAAAAAAATGCACACCCCTACTTGAGGTTCTTTCATCTCAAGAATCAAGCCTTGGATCTTTTTTTCCCTTTCAGGTCTCAATTTCATGAATCTTTACTCAAACACCAACTCCTGAAGTTTCCTAACCAAACGTTCACTTACTGCACCTTCCAGCAGCATGTTGCCCAGCACAGAGCTGCTGCTTTTTCAAAGCTGATCCAGAACTCCTATTTCAACTCACAAACATCCCAAAAGCTCTTTCACCCTTTCTTCCTTGCTTGTGATAACACCCCCAAGATCCATCACCACAGATTCACTACTTTCCATCTTTCATATTTCTGCTTTTTAAAACGCATTCACCTCCCAAGCTTTTTAAAAATCGCTTCATCGTTGTGGAGCGAAACGTTTTACCTCTCCAGACACACAAACCAGCCTAAGTTTGCAGATTTTTAAACAATTATTATTTATTGTTACAGCAGTAGAAGTTTTAACTGACTTTTTATCCCTTCTACTCCTCAGCCCCCGATTCCTGCTTTTAACTGTGAGGAAAAAAAATAATCACCACTGTTACTGGAACAAATGGTGCACAACAACCCTGGCAGCTCGCTCTTATAAAACCAGTACCGAGTTACAATGCTTTAAAACTAAACGCTGTTTAAAATTATTTCTAAGAAGTATTTTTATGACATTTCCAAAATAGTTCTCGTCTTTATAAAAAAAAAAAAAATAATATATATATATTTATATTTGTTTCATGGACACAGTGACACTTGGAGACAGAATTTCACATTTTTGCATGATCTTTAGATACACAAGCATGGCTGTATGCTGCTAGGTTTTGTTAGTCTCTATCCAAATAACATTATTAAGGTGGCAGGGCATTAAGAATGATGCACACATAACAGATTTCTTCAATTCCACTTCTCATGCCCACTACCAGTATGTTTTATGCTATACCCATTGAAATGAGTCTTCAAATAACGTTTTCCTGTCAGACGGGCTCTAGGGAGACAGGAAGGGCAGTAAGGTGACAAACTGCAGGACAGGTTGCTTGGGGAGATTGCAAGGCAGTTGCTAAGGTACGCAGGGAGGAAGTTAGGAAGGCAAAAGCCCAACTTGAACTCAGACTGGCCACCGCAGTAAGAGAATAAGAAATCCTTTTATAAACCTATCACAGAACCAAGGAGAATTTCCACCCTTCTCTTGATGCAGTGGGGAATGTGACCACTGAGGATAAGCAGAAGGCTGAGGTCCTCAATGCCTTCTTTACACCTGCCTGTAAAAGGCAGATCAGTGATCATCAGGGCACTTTATGCCCCAATCTGAAGTCTGGGATGCTACCCAGAACGCAGCCCAGGGATTCAGGTGGAGACAGTCAGCGAGCTCCTCCTCCATCTGGACTGTCACAAGCCCACGGGACCAGACGGGCTCCGTCCTGGGCTGCTGAGGGAGCTGGTGGGGGTGCCAGCAAGATGCCAGCAAGTCCTCTCTGATGCTTTCAGTGCTCAGCAAAATGAAAAACCAGAGAAACTGTTCTTTACTCCGGGAGAGTTCCAAAGCTTTTTGACCTGGGGTGAAACTTGGGTACCTCACATTATTTTTTCCATCTGTTAGTACTGCTATCCTTTTTTATGTGCATATTAAATATTTTCATGTTTATCAATAGTTCTTGAGATCCTAGAGAAAAGAAACAAAGGGCATTCTTATTTCTCCTATCACTTGGCTACTACTTTGTTCTCCTCCACGGCAGTGACACTACTAGCATATTCATTATTGTTTCTGTTTTTAAGAAATATTTTTTTCCATGTAATTAATTTGAAAATTAGTGATGGACAAACCTCAAGCTTTCTAGAGGACTGAACTGGTCACGAAATGCACCCAGAAGCTCAGAGGCTTATCAAAGCCAATCTGAAAATTTCCAAACGTCTCTGCTCTAGACAGAGGCACAGAAACCCGTTGGCTCAGGATTGCCATCACTGACTGGGCTCGCCGCTCTCCCTACTCCTCACCCAACATCCAGGACTGGTTTTTACCTTGTCCTTGCTGAAGAGCACACAAGGTATGCAAGCACACCGCTCTCCCTAGGAAAAACATAGCTCCTAGGCACCTACACTGCAAGCCTATAAACAGACGTCCAAGTCTCATAGG